AGAGAGAGAGAGAGAGAGCGATAAGTTTAAGGAAAAAAATGTGAAAGATAAAAAAACAGTGGCGTACTCGGGATAAATTAAATTGCAGGTCCTTAAAATAAACTACAGTTGGTAGTCGAAGGTCATGCTGTTTGAGAATAGAAAATTGACTAGCATATGGGAAACACGCAGAGAACATCATACTGTTTAAGAATAGAATATTGACTAGTATGTGAGATATAGGCAGAAAACAACATCATGTTCCGAATATTTTGACTATTCCAACACGAAACCAACCTTAAAGCCTTAATACCCATGTCCTCAAGGTAAGCTCGATGATCATCGTTACCATTAGGAAGATTTTCAAGTTCCTTGCTGTAGTAAAGAATATCATCTCTCAGATGTCCAGCCCCAGCACACCTTTAAAAGAAAGAATAAATAAATATAATTGAAAAAAATTGAAGAATAGATAAAAGGACATTAAGAAAAAGAAGTCTTTTATTTTTTCTTAAATATTTCAATTTGTATTATAGCTTTTTTATACTTCTTTACAGCCAAGAAATGATATATTTGTCAGCTGATTAAACTCCGACCGTTTAAAATTTATAAGATTTGCTTATTCGGAAACTCAGCAACTTTTGACACAAAACCAGTAGGGAAGTAATAAAATCGCTACTATAAAAGATACTTAAATATAATCGATACAAAAAATTAAAATAACATCATAGATTATATCACAGACTTCCAAGTTAGTTTGATTTGCCTGCTATTGTTAATTACTAGTGCTACCCCGTTAGTGCATGGAGAGAAATCAAATATATTATCACGTCCATCTATGTATGAGCATAGTTTTTTAAGATTTTTACATTTTGATCTACTCATAGCATGAAATTATCCTATTGCCTATAGCAAGCATCAGTTAGAGAAACAAGTCATAAAGTAAATAATAGTTTACCTGTCTATAACAAAGTCAACATCTGCTTTGCTCTCGGGACCGTGGACAAGAACTCGAATTAGGCTTAGTATGTCCCTGTAGTCACCCATTTTGCGTGCTTCATTATCAGAATTCAAAAGTTCTCCACAGGAAGGAATCCCGACAATCCGTGATGATGATTTTAATGCTGCCTCTGCTTCAAGTCTTATACAAACAATAGCCATAGCATATGATACACCTCCAAATCCCGTGTGTGATACAAAAAGATATGACCCTGCAGAGCTGTTAAGAGAAACAGAGTTTTAGTTTCATGACATGGCTAAAGGAAAATGGAGGGATGTCACAAGCATCAACGTATCTCAAGTACTCCATCCAAAACATAAAGATAGATCCGTTTACTTGCAAACTGTTCAATAAAAACCTCAATCATTGTTGTTGGGAAGGTAAAAGTTAAGAGAATTTTCAAGCACTTACTCATCCTTACAGTATTGTATGGAATCAACATCTGAAGCCAAAGCTTCTCTCTCTCTCGTTAACGGGGTCCTTTGATATGCTATATTGTATCCTTCAAGCTTCAGAGCTGTGTATACCTCTGCAGGTGTTTTAACATCATCCACAAATATATTCTCCCAGTACCCAACGACACTGGCCTGTTTTAAAGCAGGGGTAAATTCTTCACGGTGCAAAAGCATCCTACCACCAGATTTTCTAATCTCAGATATTATATCTTCTTTCAAACGTGCTTCCATGTTTTCCACCTGTAAAATGAAATAAAATGACAAATTTTGAGATCCATTCCACTTTATCAGCAGTTTCTAACAACAGTTTGCTATGATAGCCTACCACTGGACCAGTGATTCCTATGTGCTTGAGAGTATCAACGGGTTTATTCAGTTCTCTAAGAACAAAAGGAGTGTTGTTGATGTAAACAACAGCTTCTTCTCTTAGATCTGTTAAAACTACTCTCTGAGGAGCACTTCCTTCTGCTGTAGGCTTGGCACCTAAATACACTAGCATCTCTTCTGCACCGGCAATTGTTGGAGTTGCCATGCTATACACAGGATATCCATCCACCTTAAATGAGAAATCTCAGAATGAGATATCTATTCAAGCTTAAAGCTTGAATAAACTTAGTTGCGAAAGCTTAGGCCAAAATAGTGAACTAAATCACATTTCATAAAGTGGTTATATTGTAACCATAATAGTAAGGAAGATCAACTCATCTAATAGTTGATACAACCTGATTTACTTAATTACTCAAATAGGTTGTTTGAAGCAAATTAGAAAATTAAATTAGAGAATCCAAATCTTTATTGGGTTTAGCAGTATTCATAAGATGTATAAAAAGCAATATGCAACTTTTGCAGATACAAACTATCCTGATACTCAAGGTTATCACATATCTATTTTTGAAAACCACATAAGCATGATAAAATTACAAAGATGAATTTTGTCATTTATCTCATGCCTCCAGTTTATTATAAATTTGACCTCTCAGGTTACCTTGTAGACATGAGGTGCACCGTGGATTTGTATGTGGCTAGAGGTTCGTTGACCAGGAAAGAAATACATCTTCAGTATTGAACCTTTACCCAAAACTGAACCATTACGGTCCTTCACAATTGCCTCCATGACAGCATCTCCATGCTGAGATTCATGGGGAGCTCTCAATTCCTCCTGTATTCAGAAACCTTACAATTAATACGAAAATAAAGAAAAAAACATGCAACCTTGAGAGGCAGTGTGGTGAAAGAACAATTACAGGGATGGTAAGGAATCGCCCAGGTCTTAGTCGGATGGACCATTTCATAGCTTGAACTTCTGGTCTCTGATGTAACCAATTCTTAAAGGTCATTTTTGACTGTCCATGTCCGCAAAACCCATCGAAAGCTTCGCTTCCTAGATATGCTGCAAAAGCAATCAAACGGAAATAACGCTCCAAATATTCAGCACCACGATTTAATGCCACTCTTCTTTCTCTAGGCTCCACATCCTGCTGATTAAACAACTTTCTGTACTGCAAGACAGCTTGTCGGATGTTCTGCAGGGCTGAACATCGATCTATAATAGAATCTAATGCTTCTCGGCATTCAACCCCATTGTCAAATAATCTTGTAATCTTCCATAGCAGTAGGATGTCATTAATGCCGAAGGAATGACCCAAATCTTCTCCTGTCCTAATTTTATCAGGATTAGACACCAATGTGGAGATCTGATCTTCCCTTTCATCAACACTTTGACTACTCAATTTTAATTGTGACGAGTCATCAACAAACAGTCTAACAGGCCTTCCATAATCTATTCGGAGTTTCAGAAGGCACGCGATAACCGTACCTGTTGTTGTCCTTCCAATTCCCATCTGTAAAACTCCACAAAATAAGGAACCAGCACAAGTAGCAGCCACAGTGCCGTGAATTACGTACTTACTTCAAAAATAATAAACCCGAGTTCCGAGAAAATATATCTTCTAATAAACAAAAGCTAAAAAAATAAAAATATGAAGGACTGATCCATGCAACTGATGAGTCAATCTCGATACAATAATTACCTGGCAGTTGAAAACAAAAGCCGTGTCCTTAGAAGCAGATACAATGTTCATGGCCAATGTGTCAAAATCAGACCCTTTTGGAGCTTTTCCATCAGTTATCGGGACACGAGCATATTTGATGGGAAAACCATCAGTTTCAAAGCACTTGAATACCTCCCGTGGAGTCTGCACAGCATCTAACTTCACATGTTCCCAAGCATCTGATATTTGGCCTCCATCATTTTCATGGATGACCATTATAGCCCCTTCATATCGTTCAGCTTCCCGCAATATATCATCTTTAAGTCTAGCTTCCATTCGTTCAACTCTTTCACAATCAATCCCCTATGGAAGATATTCTAGCACATTAGTTTCTAGAAAAGGTATTTAGTTAGAGTGCATTCCTATCCTCTTTTTATTGATAATTCAACATCCAGTGCCATCACAAGCATAGAATACTGTGATTCTAGAACAATTAAACTTAAAATTTTAAATACAGTGTAGGTTTTAATGTTACAGAACCTTTCTGAGAGCATACAAATAGCCGACTTGATTATATTTCTGCTGAAAATGTTTATTATTTTAAGAAAACAGAATGGAAATTTAAAGTTCTGACAAAGCACATTAAAAAAAATATTTGGAGCAATAGCTCAGGCAATACCAGTTTGAAAATAGAACTAATAAGTACTACAATGTAGTTGGGTGCTCAATTATACCGGGCACTTGCAGACTGGCAGCTATTCAAGTTTTGCAGTTCAAGCTTCAGTCATCACTTCAAGCAATTTTATTTATATAAAAAATGAAGTCAAAAATTCATATGCTAAAAAAATATGCAACATATCATGGATTAATTGTATTCTGCTTCAGAAATTAGGACGTGATGCCATACCGTGTATTCCAGCATATTTTTATATGGTCTTTCAACTTCACGAAGTACGAAAGGCTTTCCATTTATGTAAACAACAGGTTCTTCTCTCATATTGTGCCAGAATACTGGACGGCCGCCTTTTGAGCTTCCAATCCTTTGAATGACCGATCGAATTCCATCGACTGTGGGAATAGCAACGCCATATACTGGAAATCCAGGTATTTCCCTAAAATTAGGAGCACCCTCTACTCTTTCTGGTAACCCAGGATGTTGACAACCAGGACAGTGGTCACTTTTGAGAACCGTTTGACTTCCCAGAACCTCTCCGTTCCTTAAGGCAGCAACTTGACTCATCTCTAATGGGTGGCCATCAGCAGATTCAGCATTAGCTAGGGATGGTTTTATATTGGCATAACCAAGTGCTCCCATTGGATCTCTCCGCAGCAATCTGCAGATTCGTCACTAGCAGCTAACGCATCATTTTGACCTCTAATGAATCATTTTATGTTGCTATATGAACATGCTATGGAAGGTTTGTACTTACATTAGAAAAAATGATCTCAATCCAGGTCCCTAAGAAATGTGAGCCATGACATCATTTTGATTTAATTCGTTCCAAATGACTCAACAAATGTTATGACATTCAAAATTTAGCTACACCCTATAGTATCCCTGTTAATGTACCAGCCACCTTCTTCATCAATAGGGTATGCACCATAGCATTCTCAACCTTGAGCAAGACCATACCGAAAAGTACATCTAGCATATTCTTTTACTTTGTGGAATCATCTATTCTGAAATCTTTTAGACTTAATATTTACGGACCCGAAATCTCAGGTGTTACTCTTGCAAACAGACTGATATTCATTAGTCCTACACCATTTCATTATATTCGATGAACATACTATTAGTTCCATTAATCCATTAGGATAGTAATTAGACTGTCTTGCAACGAGACAGTTCATCTTTCACAACATCAAAGCAGATTAGTAAGAAGAACACAATGTGATGAACCTAGAAAAGTCAAAGTTCAGGCTATTGCATTGGTAAAGAACATTAATTTTCTTGCTGATATAATATTTACGCGGTAATGAGGAGATTTAGCATGTAAAGAATTAGAAAAATCTTACATATTAAATCGCTTGATTGATAGACCTCATAACATAACACTGAATCTAAGAGTTCCATTGTTACCTCCGCAGTATACTATAAAGCTCAGGTCTAGCTCTCATCCACTCGGTGAAACTGCATTGACCAGGAGATATAGGAAAAAGAGTCTCTCTTTCCATGTGGAGGTATACAGAAAAACAAATGAGGAAATAATATCTCTCCAAGTACTCCACAAAAAAGGAAAGAGAAGCTTCCCTCTTCATTTCGTCATCTTGACAGAGAATACTGCTCCGATAATGAGCGATAGCTTCACGTAGATTCTATAAACAAAACAACAAAAAGATAACATATTAAAATCTAAAACAAGAGGCAGTTGCTATCTCAAATATTTGTTCCACCTCGGACTGAAGGAAAAAAACGAAAGAAAACATGAATGTATAAAAAATAAAATAGAGACCAGTACCTGCATAGATGCACATTTGTCGATGACTTCATCAACCTGTCTTTTGCCTTCAACGCCACCCTATAGGCATATCAAAAGTCAATATAAATTCACAAAAATAATAGAGAACAAAACCCAAAAAATGAAAGAAAATGAAAGATATATAAGAAAAGAAAAGGATCAATACCGAACTAAGTAGAAACGGGGTATTATCAGTACCTCTAAAACTCGAATTAGGCTCCTGATAACTGCATATTCTCCTCTACGGATAGATTCCTCTGAATCTGGTAAGTCCGAAGTAATGCTAGAACTGCAACCAGAAACTTTTCCCATGGAGTTGTTTCTTGGAATACCTATATATGAAAATCAGAATACGAAGCATTCAAAGTTGCATACTACAGAAAGAGATTCAGAGACCTTCCAGTAAATAATGCGTGGAGAGGAGTTTGCATCCACTACTCCCTAGGACATAAGCTACACACTGTTTAAAAGTGTATCATGTTAACTTCTTCGAATAACAACGAAGCAAGCAGCAGGTAGCAGGTTAAGGGACAAAACGGCAGCCTACATCCAAGAATATTCTAAAGAAGCACACATGATGGAACCCCAGAATTTAGCACAGTATGGTAATAACATTTTTTTCCATACACTTAAAACACAAGCATAGTCGATTATTAAAATCATTTAATAGTACTCAATCCACCAATTTTTTGTTAAGACTTAAAACTTAATAGTTTCAATGTAGTTCCTATTGAAATACACCATAGCAGATGCTTTCTGTTACATTATACATAACACACATTCATTAAAAAATGGAAAGAGAAACTTCTCCTTTTTGGGATTTGATGATATCAAGTTCTCTCGTCCAGCTTCAAGTAGCAAGTAATGAACATTATTTATGCTGTGATACTTCAGTATGCGCAATAAATCTTTTTCGCCCATGATCTACAGGTTAAACTCGTAAACGTCAACAATTAATATATAGTATGGATCCAGGGTTATACTTCAGCTAGGCAAGTCGCTGATGTCTAGCTTTGACACTACGTTGCCTGTCTGTTCTTCGTCCGTCCATCCGCCCATTCACCCGTCCGTCCATCTATCTATAGAGTATTGATTTGGTAGAAATCATTCTTAATGTAGGAACTAGGACCTCAATGAAAATACATTTAACATACTGCTACTTTAGCAATGTACAAATATTATTTTAGTAGTGTGATCACTCCATATATAATAACAATACATATAACATAATTTAGTACTCATATATTATAGAGGTACATACAACATTTTTAGACGTGTATAAAACAACTTCTAACAGGTTTCCTACTTCCTTTGTGAAAAATTAGTTCATAATTGATCCGTTAGCTATATTTATATAAAAGGCAACTCTAGACATACATTTGGAAAGTCCGACCACAGAATTTTGGCTAAATGTGAAAATGATTCCAATTATTATTGTTTTAATTGTATAATCGAGTCATGTACTCCGATTAATATACACATACTATATTGATTTTATGCAAATTAGTCAAATATATCTATGTAATTACATGCCATATCTATAAAACTAGATATTTTTGCAATGAAATATTGGAGGCTATCTTTGAAATATACAACATTAAGATCAAAGGGTATAAAAGACAAAAACTCAATTTCTACATCATATTGTTGTTTTATTTTGTAGCTGCGATCATACAAACGCATTACATACCCACCCTTTCTGTGTATGAAGTTGTGGTTCAAACACCCAATTGGTCAGTTTTCACGTAGGTAGGACTGAAAATTATGTTTCACTCATCAATGAAATGAATATAAAAATAACCATACAGTATATATCAAACTGTAAGTACGGCATTTTCTAAAATTGCTCATGATTTCCTAAGTATGGTGCAAGATATCATTTGGTAACTATTCCATAGGTGCATCTTGAAATAAAAGTATGCTATAAAAAGAAGATCTAATTCTCTTACCATTCGTTGTAATCGTGTAATTGACTCAAACTCTTAGGGTGTTTTATAATAGTAAAATGGTTCATACTGCTACATATATCCTTCAATTGAAAAAAATAATTTGGTGGAGTATGAAAGTTACTCAAAGAAATGCGAGTTCAACATTAAATCAGTTTGCACAAAAGCTAAAAAAATAGGCAAATATAAAATCAAATCTTATTTTCTAAACTTGCCTAAACCTTCCAGTTGGTTTGGCCCATTACCGCCTTACCGGTGCACATTAATTTAGTACCATGTATTAGAATTGAGAATGTAAGTGGAAAGAAATGACAGGGTAATCAACTAGAGCAGTCAAATAGTCATCACATGTGACTAGTTTACAGTACGAAATTAAAGATACATCAATACTGTTAATTATAATAGAACTAAAATATTATAAATTGAGTATAGAGTCATGTAGTTCAGCATGTATTAGTATAGAGTCACGTAGTTCAGCACGTATTAAGAGTTTCTTCAATTTGATAAAAAATTATCTTCACAAAGGAAAAAATCTCTGCACCCATGCTTAGAGTAACTTAATATTTTAGTTTTTCATTTCTATCAATATTTTTACTATATATACAAGAATAATTCTTCAAACTATTATACACGGTAAATTGATAGTTTAATTGATGTTATCAAATATAAAATTTCCGCCATGCGGGTTATTCTTAACCACCATATAAATTTGTGAAGGATGGCGGCGCCACATGCCACCATGGAGGCCGCTATAGCGAAATTTCAACCTATCACCATTTTTACTCTAATCTGCCATGGGTAACATTGTTTACTGACATAAATGATTAGTCGAAAAAAGTGTGTATTATATATATTTATTAGATTATTTTTATATGCTTAATATTGCACACGTGACATATCCAGCCATACAACCTCTTGCCCACAATTTATTTCCAACTAGTCATCATCCTGTGCACATGCACAGATGTACATAAAATATTATAAGTAATATGTGTGAATTTAATATTAAAATTACAAATAATAAACATATCACATTTTCAAGATATTTGAATTTAATATTAAAATTCTAGATAATGAACATACCACATTTTCAAGATTTAATCATTAGTAAAAATAAATAATATTGATATAAATTATTTGAGTACATATGAATCACTATATTAATTAAAAAAAATTTGTGGGTAATATAACTTTTATAATTTGGAGGGATCATGGTCAAATAATTTACTTGAAAACTTTATTATTATTATTATTATTATTATTATTATTATTATTACAACGACAATTGTTTATAAGATTTTAAAATTTTTTACTATACTACTAAAAACTATTTACTAATTGTTTCTAAAGAAAATTGTTTCATGAAATACAGAATTAAAATGATGATGATGATAATAATAATATATCATTCATAAAACCTAATTAAGTGTAATCATGTACTTATAAAACCTAATTAATAAAACCTCATTTATTTTCCCTCCAAATGAAGTTACAAAATTTGTAATTCATATTTTGCCTTTCACATTAATACACCCTATGAAGTGTAATCATATATTTTTTTTTGCTATTATATTATATAATAGTTAATGCTATTATCAACTCATAATATTTCACATTAAATATAAATTACATAAGTATAAATAATTCTATTGTTTCAAGATATTATTATTATTATTATTATTATTATTATTATTATTATTATTATTATTATTATTATTATTATTATTATTATTA